ATTCTAATATATTAAATATTTCAATATTTGGGTGCTACTGTAACGACTTCATCCTTTAACATTAGCTGGCTTGGTGTAGGAACAGTATGACCTCACCTGGCATAAATGTCACGATATGGTGGGCCTCGGGGGCCAATGACAATCCCTTCCCAAAAAGTGTCTTTCCACAGAAAAGGGTAGGTAACATATGGGCCCTGGTCAAAAGTAATGCACTATATAGGAAACAGGGTGCCATTTGGGACATAGCCATAGGCAATGTTCTCTCAATTTTTTCAGCACTGAGCAAATTTCACCTGCTGAGCTCAAACTCGAGCCAGGCCCATCTCCTGGCTATCTACCTCTCTGTCAACCGGACGGGACCTTCTAGTGTAGACACGGAGCCCCGCCGATCCATCACGACTGGTCTGCCGACGTAATCGTCTGATGTGGTTTCAACAGGCTTCCCGTTGCGACGACCATGAAGATCCATCTGCTAGCCCCGGCCCGCTAGCATGCGCAATCAACAGCTGTGCCTCCTCCTCGCCTGTGCTGTAGCAGCCTACGAACTGCTCCCGGACTTACTTATTGCTGTTCACTGGACCTTATGATCACTCAGCTACACAGCTAATGCCAGCTGGACTGTTCCTTTACACGGTACCCCATCCTGTTTATCTGTTTAGCCTCAGCCCAAACTTTCGTCGCCATTACCAGTTGTTGTCTTAGCCCTCTCGAATAACACCTGTGATTGCGTTATGCCTCTCTCCCATGTCAATATGCCTAGCCTATTGATGTTTGGGTTAGTTCTTATTATACAATTTCACTGTAGAACCCCCAGTCCCGCTCAACCAGCATCAGAGAGCTCCTTTGTCCCACCCCCCATACACGCGGAGACCAGCTCAATTGGTACCTCCAGTGATGCTATCTCTTTCACAGTTACCCAATGCTTAGGTGTACCTCCACTGTACTCATATCCTTCCATATCCTTGTCTGTACATAATGCCCTGAATCTATTCTACAACGCCCGGAAATCTGCCCCTTTTATTCTCTATACCCAACGCACTAGAAGACCAGTTCTTAACGCCTTTAGCCATATCCTTATTATATTCCTCCTCTGTTCCTCTGGTGATGTAGAGGTTAACCCAGGCCCTGTAGCCCCCAGTATCACTCCTACCCCCCAGGCACTATCATTTGTTGACTTCTGTAACCGTAAAAGCTTTGGTTTCTTGCATGTTAACATCAGAAGCCTCCTCCCCAAGTTTGAGTTATTCACTGCGTTAGCACACTCTGTCAACCCTGATGTTCTAGCAGTGTCTGAATCTTGGCTTAGGAAGGCAAACAAAAATTCAGAAATGTACATCCCGAACTACAACATTTTCCGTCTAGATAGAACTGCCAAAGGGGGCGGAGTTGCAATCTACTGTAGAGCTATATCATACTATCCAGGTCTGTGCCCAAACAGTTTGAGCTTCTACTTCTTAAAATCCACCTTTCCAGAAATGTCTCTCACTGTTGCCGCTTGCTACAGACCCCCCTCAGCCCCCAGTTGTGCCCTGGACACCATATGTGAATTGCTTGCCCCCCATCTATCCTCAGAGTTCGCACTGCTTGGTGACCTAAACTGGGATATGCTTAACACCCCGGCCGTCCTACAATCTAAACTAGATGCCCTCAATCTCACACAAATTATCAAGGAACCTACCAGGTACAACCCTAAATCCGTAAACATGGGCACCCTCATAGATATCATCCTGACTAATTGACCCTCTAAATACACCTCCGCTGTCTTCAACCAGGAGCAATCACTGCCTCATAGCCTGCGTCCGTAATGGGTCCGCGGTCAAACGACCACCCCTCATCACTGTCAAACGCTCCCTAAACACTTCAGCGAGCAGGTCTTACTAATTGACCTGGCCCGGGTATCCTGGATGGATATTAACCTCATTCCATCAGTAGAGGATGCCTGGATGTTCTTCAAAAGTGCTTTCCTCTCCATCTTAAATAAGCATGCCCCATTCAAAAAATTCAGAACTAAGAACAGATATAGCCCCTGGTTCACCCCAGACTTGACTGCCCTTGACCAGCACAAAATCATCCTGTGGCGTACTGCATTAGCATCGAACAACCCCCGCGATATGCAACTTTTCAGGGAAGTCAGGAACCAATATACATAATCAGTTAGGAAAGCAAAGGCTAGCTTTTTCAAACAGAAACGTGCATCCTGTAGCACTAACTCCAAAAAGTTTTGGGACACTATAAAGTCCATGGAGAATAAGAGCACCTCCTCCCAGCTACCCACTGCACTGAGGCTAGGAAACACTGTCACCACCGATAAATCTACGATAATCGAGAATTTCAATAAGCATTTTGCTACGGCTGGCCATGCTTTCCACCTGGCTACCCCTACCCCGGCCACCAGCTCTGCACCCTCCGCTGCAACTTGCCCATGCCCCCCCCCCCCCCGCTTCTCCTTCACCCAAATTCAGATAGCTGATGTCCTGAAAGAGCTGCTAAATCTGGACCCCTACAAATCAGCTGGGCTAGACAATCTGGACCCTTTCTTTCTAAAATTAGCCGCCGAAATTGTAGCAACCCCTATTACTAGCCTGTTCAACCTCTCTTTCGTATCGTCTGAGATCCCCAGGGATTGGAAAGCTGCCGCGGTCATCCCCCTCTTCAAAGGGGGTGACACTCTAGATCCAAACTGTTACAGACCTATATCCATCCTGCCCTGCCTTTCGAAAGTATTTGAAAGCCAAGTTAACAAACAGATCACCGACCATTTCGAATCCCACCGTACCTTCTCCGCTATGCAATCTGGTTTCCGAGCTGGTCATGGGTGCACCTCAGCCACGCTCAAGGTCCTAAACGATATAATAACCGTGATCGATAAAAGACAGTACTGTGCAGCCGTCTTCATCGACCTGGCCAAGGCTTTTGACTGTCAATCACCGCATTCTTATTGGCAGACTAAATAGCCTTGGTTTCTCAAATGACTGCCTCGCCTGGTTCACCAACTATTTCTCAGATAGAGTTCAATGTGTCAAATCGGAGGGCCTGTTGTCTGGACCTCTGGCAGTCTCTATGGGGGTGCCACAGGGTTCAATTCTCGGGCCGACTCTATTCTCTGTGTATATCAATGATGTCGCTCTTGCTGCTGGTGACTCTCAGATCCACCTCTACGCAGACGACACCATTTTGTATACATCTAGCCCTTCACTGGACACTGTGTTAACAAACCTCCAAACGAGCTTCAATGCCATACAACACTCCTTCCGTGGCCTCCAACTGCTCTTAAACGCTAGTAAAACTAAATGCATGCTCTTCAATCGAACGCTGCTTGCACCCGCCCGCCCAGAATCACTACTCTCGGCAGGTCTGACTTAGAATATCTGGACAACTACAAATACCTAGGTGTCTGGTTAGACCGTAAACTCTCCTTCCAGACTCACATTAAGCATCTCCAATCCAAAGTTAAATCTAGAATCGGCTTCCTATTTCGCAACAAAGCCTCCTTCACTCATGCTGCTAAACATGCCCTCGTAAAACTGACTATCCTACCAATCCTTGACTTCGGCGATGTCTTTTACAAAATAGCTTCCAACACTCTACTCAGCAAATTGGATGTAGTCTATCACAGTGCCATCCGTTTTGTCACCAAAGCCCCATATACTACCCACCGTTGTGACCTGTACGCTCTCGTTGGCTGGCCCTCACTACATATTCGTCGCCAAACCCATTGGCTCCAGGTCATCTATAAATCACTTCTAGGCAACTCCCCGCCTCATCTTAGATCATTGGTCACCATAGCAACATCCACCCGTAGTATGCGTTCCAGCAGGTATGTCTCACTGGTCAACCCCAAAGCCAACACCTCCTTTGGCCGCCATTCCTTCCAGTTCTCTGCTGCAAATGACTGGAACGAACTGCAAAAATCTCTGAAGCTGGATACTCTTATCTCCCTCACTAACTTTAAGCATCAGTTGTCAGAGCAGCTTACCGGTCACTGCACCCGTACACAGCCCATCTGTAATTAGCCCACCCAACTACCTCATCCCCATATTGTTATTTACATTGTTATTTATTTTGCTCATTTGCACCTCAGTATCTCTATTTGCATATAATCTTCTGCACATCTATCACTCCAGTGTTAATACTAAATTGTAATTATTTTAAACTATGGCCTATTTATTGCCTTACCTCCATAACTTACTACATTTGCACACACTGTATATAGATTTTCTATTGTGTTATTGACTGTACGTTTTGTTTATTCCATATGTAACTCTGTGTTGTTGTTATTTTTATCGCACTGCTTTGCTTTATCTTGGCCAGGTCGCAGTTGTAAATGAGAACTTGTTCTCAACTGGCTTACCTGGTTAAATAAAGGTGAAATGAAAATAAAATAATTGAAAGAATGTTGTTGTTTTTTAACTGAAGAATGTGTTCGTTTTCTATTATTGTTTTTATTTAAGTGTATTGATATGTATATTGATGTGTTTGATGTGTATGCAGGGCTCATCTGTGAAAGAAACCACCTGTCTAAATAAATAAGAAATGGGTACATTTCAAACCAGAGTTGCTTTCCCATTTACAACCACTAGATGGCACATCCAGATAAGATTGAAATACTGAAGGCTTTGCCTGATGACTCAAACTGTTTGGGTAGCCAAGCAACTCTTGGCCTACATTACAAGTTACAACATCTGATCTGAAAAAAATACGAACAATGTGTATCAATGTTTAATGTTCACTGTGCACATGGGATAGAAGGAAAATATAATGACAATGTTTAGGCTAACTCTTTAAATTTCAAAGAGTAGACCTAAACACTATTATACTATTTTTCACTTACAGTATTGGTAGTAATGTACAGTATCAAAGGTTCATTATAAGATTATTATTATTAGTTTATTCAGTGCATTGCTGTCTAACGTTAGTCATAAAGATGAACAGAAAGATTTGCCCTCAATCTAGCTACAGTATCAGAGCACAGTTATCTGTGAAGCTCCTCCCACGTGTAGTTTTTTTCTGTAGTGTTCAGTTGGAGAGGACGAGTGCTTGGTCGACATTTTAGCTTTGCATCATCAGGACTGACGTGGGGACTACGTGGCTCGAGCCATCCACTCCTACCGTAATTAGTGACGAGTCTGACTACGTAACTTATAACTTTGGTAAGTTATTACACAGTAGCGTACTCGTGGGACAAGGCAAGAAAAAAGGAGAGACAGAATGTTCACCGTTTACAATGACGCATGGACAAACTTTCGATTCGTAGTCGGAATCTACTTCCTGCTTGTTAGCCAGCTGAACAACTTCATGCACAGGCACGAATTGAACAGTTTTGGGCTTGTTAGCTGACATGGTAGACAGATAAATAAATGTCTGACCAACCAGCGACCGTATATTACTCCTTTTTTTTTAAGTTAACAACTGCCGCCTGCTACTAGCTAGCTGCTAGTTACATTAGCTAAAAAAAAGCTAACGTTACCGCCCTTCATGCGTTTCCGTGCGAGTCGCAATTTCTCTTTCGAACAGCTGCATAGCTAAACTACACAACTCTATTCGCGTTCTCTTTTTGGAAAGCTAGCTAGCCAGTGTAATGTCTGGAATGGAATAAACGGAACGGTATCAAAGAAATGGAAACCATATGTTTGACTCTGTTCCATTGATTCCATTCCAGCTATTACAATGAGCCCGTCCTCCTATAGCTCCTCCCACCAGCCTCCTCTGTGGCATATGTTCTCCAACAAGCAAAGAGTGAGAAAGTTACAGGTTACATAAAAGTGACTCCAAAATGACACAATACATTATTTACCATTCATTTCTATTGGGCACAAAATAATCTGAAACACAACCAAAACAAACAGCAAATGAATCCTACAAGTTTGTAGAGTCACAAGCTTTATGTAATTGTTGTGCTTCTACACCTGCATTACTAGCTGTTTGGGGTTTTAGGCTGGGTTTCTGTACAGCACTTCGAGATATTAGCTGATGTAAGAAGGGCTATATAAAATAAAATTGATTGATTGATTGATTGTGTGCTAGGAATATGGGACCAAATACTAAACTTTTGACTACTTTAATATACAAATAAGTGAATTTGTCCCAATACTTTTGGTCCCCTAAAATATTGTGACTATGTACAAAAGTGATGTAATTTCTAAATGTTTCATGGATGAAAATATCCTCAAATAATTAAAGCTGACATTCTGCATTTTAACCTCATAGTCATTGTATCATTTCAAATCCAAAGTGCAGGAGTACAGAGCCAAAAAACAACACAATTGTCACTGTCCCAATAATTACGGAGGGCACTGAATTTTAATATATTCTTAAACTTAACATACATTTAATTATCTAAGGGAGCTTCATTTATTTTAATCTAATAACCTAGATAAGTAGACTTTAATTGTGCTTAGCCTCATTTCCTGACATTTCCAGTCCGATGACCATGGACACAGCGGTTGCGTCATCAAAGCAGGAGGGAAGTTTTGATGACTCTCTGTCTGATGAAGAACCAAGTCAGAGTGAATCCAACTCACCCACTGCAGTACTCACTCAGGTAGCTACTTTGTGAAGTGTGTGTTGTGGCCACTGTCACTCATCATCACTCTTATAATTCAGAGGTGTATCAGTGTCTAAATAGGCTGGTCCCAGATCTGTTTGTGTTTTTGCCAACTCCATTGCTCATTGTCAAGGCAAACATGACAATAAATGACAAGGCATTTGCATGATTGCACAAACAGACTGGCACTCAAGCTAGTTTAGACGTACTGATGATAGAGTTTACTTTCCTCAAATATTTCTCAAATATTGTTTAAATTGCGTGTAAAACGATTGAACATCTCATCTTCCTCTAGGTTTCAGGAACAGGAGACTCCGCTGGCATGACAGTGGTGCAGTTACCTGGTGGACAGACAGTTCATGTTCAGGGTGTCATCCAGGCTCCTCAGGCCTCTGTCATCCAGTCACCACAGATGCAGAATGTACAGGTAGCTAATAGAGCTCCATCCCTTCCCTATACCTTCAGGTTGCGCCCCAAATGGCACTCTATTCCCATATAGTGCACTACTTTTGACCACTGCTCTATATAGGGAATATATAATAATAATATATAATATGCCATTTAGCAGACGCTTTTATCCAAAGCGACTTACAGTCATGCGTGCATACATTTTTGTGTATGGGTGGTCCCGGGGATCGATAGGTGCCATTTGGGATACAGCCTCAAGTCACTCTAGTCTTCTTGGCTAAATTCAGTCAAAACTGCATTGTGTTATTTTACCCCATAGAAAAACCAAAGAATGGTTTTGCGTACTTGTAGCTAGTTTCTTAGCCTGAGTGCCAGTCTGTTTGTCCCATCATGCCAAATTCTTGTCACTCTTTGTCATGCCAAACATGCTTGGCTTGACAATGACAGCATTGAAGTTAGCAAAAGCACAAAGTTTAACCTTCATGTACACAGAATGTTGTATTGTGTCTGACTGTCTCTAAGACAACACACTTTCTGCTTGCAATAGACAAATCAGCACATGATGTCACCCTAGTTTTCCTTTCTTCTCTAAATTACAGAGTCTCTGTCCCAAAATGCACCCTATTCCCTATATATTGCACTATTTTTGACAAGAGCCCTATGGAGGAATGGTGTGCCATTTGGGTCAGAACCTGAGATTTCTACTGTTGTCAGAATTTGTTTTCAGCACTGGGAATTTCTTTCATTTTTCAGTATTCAGTAAGGCATTTTAAATGGAGGGAGGTGACCCTACACAGGGATCATATCTATGCATTACTTTCAGACTTCATAGTGTTTTTCTTTGCTCCAGATAACCTCCATAGCTGGGCTTGAAGATGGGGAGTCAGCAGTCACAGACACACAGAAAAGAAGAGAGATTCTCTCAAGACGGCCATCTTATCGGTTGGCAGACATTAAAACATCGCAAATATGAATTGTTCCCCCCCCCCCCCAAAGGACACCGTATTCCTTATATAGTGCACTACTTTTGACCAGAGACCTATGGGCCCTGGTTAAAAGTAGTGCACTATAAAGGGAACAAGATGTTATTTGATAAACAACTATTGACATTTCAAAAGCAATCCAAGCAGAGTACGGTAGTTTATTATGTGCTTTCCTCTTTCCTTCAGAAAAATCCTCAATGAACTATCATCAGATACGTCCTCAATTCCGAGAATTGAGGAGGAGAAAGCTGAAGATGAGGTTCCACCCTCCAGTGTCCCTTCAGTTCAAGTGCCAACTTCAATTTATCAGACCACCGGTGGCCAATACAGTGAGTTTCATTAGGCTTTGGTCAAAAGTAGTGCACTATACAGGGAATAGGTTGCCATAGTTGGAACGCAACTATGGTCAAAATGTTGACGTGCACTCACTATTGTGACAGTAAGGGTTCTCCCCAAAGAATGTAAGAGTTAGTGATGCGCGGGTTGACTCATAATCCGCAGTCCCCGCAGTTATATCCGAGGGGTGTGCGGGTTTAGGGTAATTAAATATTGGGTGGGTTGAATAAAGTGAAAATAATACCTTAAAGAATCCATATTTATATGCAATTTATTTCTATATGCTACATTGAGGTTTTTCTTTCATTATTTTAGGCTATCTGGCATTAGTGCGTAAGCCTAAACTTTAGGGCCTAACTGTACACACGCCAAATAGCCTACACGCCAATCACCAAATGCTTTTAGGAACGGGCAGAAAACATTTTCGTTGCAGAAAACGTTAACATTGATCCACAGAGGCAAAGAGGACAATATTGACATTTAATTCAATAAGAGAAAAGCTGTGAAATGGAGAGTTGAAAATAAAGAAATGGGAGGGCCAGAAAAGTCATGTTTGGGAAATGTAAAAGAGGATGATAGCAGTGTGGTTATGTATGTTATATGTGATGATTGTGAGGCGCTATACACATTCGACAGTCACAAGACGGGACTTCAAATAGGCCTATGGCATGTCAAGGGAACTGTAGCCTACTGTTTAGATGGGTTAAATGGAAACTGAAATCTGGACACTGACTATAGATCTATAACCTCTCACATAGCCATAATATTAAGTCCTGCAGATTTAAGCATTTATTGCAGTAAAATGATCAGCATCATAAAAGCTGATAGTATTTCAACCACATAAAATATGCATCATAGCCATATTGAAATGTTATCAGAAGCATGTTGTTTTCACAGCTTTTTGTTTCCTTATAACCGGTCAAATTGATGTAGTTTGGAAATGTTGCACAAATTCTTTCCCGTTTTTTAGTTGAGTTATTGCATTCTCTTCCCGGTCCCTAAACGTCTTTGCTCTACGAAAGAAGCAGAGATCACAGAGAACTTCAACCTATCGATGTATGACATTATTCTGGTGAACAGTTTATTTAGTCTTCTAGGGCAACATATAATGACAGAAGAGAAGCTGCATGTATCTAATTATAGACAATTTGACTAACAAATAGCCTACCAAAATGTCAGAAAATATAAGCAGAAATATATCAAAATCAGGCAAAAAGTAATCTTGCACCCCCTTTCAAAAAATCGTTCCGCATCTCTGACTGTAACCTACAGCGCATTTTCTATATCAGCGGTTTAGGGTCGGGCCTCAGATGTTCACTTTATCACATATAGTCACCCGTGCACCACTAGTAAGAATGGCGCTGCGCTTCCTTGTAGACTGGCTGTGCCACTTTGTAATAAAAAGTATTACAAAAAATAGAATATATATACACTACATTACCAAAAATATGTGGACACCTGCTCGTCGAACATCTCATTCCAAAATCATGGGCATTAATATGGAATTGGTCCCCCCCCGTTGCTGCTATAACAGCCTCCACTCTTCTGGGAAGGCTTTCCACTACATGTTGGAACATTGCTGCAGAGACTTGCATCAATTCAGCCACAAGAGCATTAGTGAGGTCGGGCACTGTTGTTGGGCAATTAGGCCTGGTTCGCAGTCGGCGTTCCAATTCATCCCAAAGGTGTTGAGGTCAGGGCTCTGTGCAGGCCAGTCAAGTTCTTCCACATCGATCTCGACAAACCATTTCTGTATGGACCTCACTTTGTACACAGGGACATTGTCATGCTGAAACAGGAAAGGGCTTTCCCCAAACTGTTGCCACAAAGTTGGAAGCACAGAATCGTCTAGAATGTCATTGTATGCTGTAGCGTTAAGATATCCCTTCACTGGAACTAAGGGGCCTAGCCCGAACCATGAAAAACAGCCCCAGACCATTATTCCTCCTCCACCAAACTTTACAGTTGGCACTATGCATTGGGGTATGTAGCGTTCTCCTGGCATCCGCCAAACCCAGATTTGTCCGTCAGACTGCCAGATGGTAAAGCGTGATTCATCACTCCAGAGAACGCGTTTCCACTGCTCCAGAGTCCAATGGCGGCGAGCTTTATACCACTTCAGCCGATGCTTGGCATTGCGCATGGTGATCTTGGGCTTGTGTGCGGCTGAAAGGCCATGGAAACCCATTTCATGAAGCTCCCAACAAACAGCTATTGTGCTGACGTTGCTTCCAGAGGCAGTTTGGAACTCGGTAGTGAGTGTTGCAACCGAGGACAGACGATTTTTACGCGGTACGCACTTCAGCACTCGCCGATCTCGTTCTGTGAGCAACGGGTGTGGCTGAAATAGCCGAATCCACTCATTTCAAGGGGTGTCCACAATCTTTTGTATATATAGTGTGTGTAAACGGTGTGTACACTACCGGTCAAAAGTTTGGACACACCTACTCATTCAAGGGTTTTTCTTTATTTTTACTATTTTCTACATTGTAGAATAATAGTGAAGACATCAAAACAATGAAATAACATATATGGAATCACATAGTAACCAAAAAAGTGTTAAACAAATCAAAATATATTTTATATTTGAGATTCTTCAAAAAGCCACCCTTTGCCTTGATGACATCTTTGCACACTCTTGGCATTCTCTCAACCAGCTTCACCTGGAATGCTTTCCCAACTGTCTTGAAGGAGTTCCCACATATGCTGAGCAATTGTTGGCTGCTTTTCCTTCACTCTGTGGTCCGACTCATCCCAAACCATCTCAATTGGGTTGAGGTCAGGTTTTTTTTGGAGGCCAGGTCATCTGTTGCAGCACTCCATCACACTCCTTCTTGGTAGAATAGCCCTTACACAGCCTTAAGGTGTGTTGGGTCATTGTCCTGTTGAAAAACAAATGATAGTTCCACTAAGCCCAAACCAGATGGGATGGCGTATCGCTGCAGAATGCTGTGGTAGCCATGCTGGTTAAGTGTGCCTTGAATTCTAAATAAATCACAGACAGTGTCACCAGCAAAGCACCCCCACACCATAACACCTCCTCCTCCATGCTTTACGGTGGGAACTACACGTGCGGAGATCATCTGTTCACCCACACCGCTTCTCAGAAAGCCACGGCGGTTAAAACCAAAAATCAGCCATTTCTGAGGCTGGTAACTCTAGTGAACTTATCCTCTGCAGCAGAGGTAACTCTGAGTCTTCCATTCCTGTGGCGGTCCTCATGAGAGCCAGTTTCATCATACCGCTTGATGGTGTTTGCGACTGCACTTGAAGAAACTTTCAAAGTTCTTGACATTTTCCGTATTGACTGACCTTCATGTCTTAAAGTAATGTCGTTTCTCTTTGCTTATTTGAGCTATTCTTGCCATAATATGGACTTGGTCTTTTACCAAATAGGGCTATCTTCTGTATACCCCCCCTACCTTGTCACAACACAACTGATTGGCTGAAACGCATTAAGAAAGGAAATACATTCCACAAATTAACTTTTAAGAAGGCACACCTGTTAATTGAAATGCATTCCAGGTGACTACCTCTGAAGCTGGTTGAGAGAATGCCAAGAGTGTACAAAGCTGTCATCAAGGCAAAGGGTGGCTATTTGAAGAATCTCAAATATAAAATATACTTTGATTTGTTTAACACTTTTTTGGTTACTACATGATTCCATATGTGTTATTTCATAGTTTTGAGGTCTTCACTTTTATTCTACAATGTAAAAATAAAGAAAAACCCTTGAATGAGTAGGTGTGTCCAAACTTTTGACTGGTAGTGTAGCTCTGAGTAACCCATCACTTCTATAAACGTGTGTCCCTCCTCAGTTACCATCACCCAGGGGGGAGCCATCCAGATAGCCAGCCCAGGCAGTGAGGGTCTGCAGGGCTTACAGACTCTGGCCATGTCCAACTCAGGTACCCCCCAGATCCTGCAGTATGCAACCCAGGCAGGGGACTCAGGACAGCAGTTCTTCTCTGTACAAGGTGGCCAGGTGGTGATACAAGGTAGGAACAACTGTACCTAAATTAACTCCATCTTGACTCTGGTCAAAAGTAGTGCACTATGTAGGGAAAAGTGTAATTCATCAAGTCATAGGTTTGTATTAATTTGGCAAATGAACAAAAGGAAGCTGGAACTTGACTAGTTTGTCTCTAAAAAGTGTCAAGGATGGCTGGTTGACCCTTTAATGTTACTATGTAACCAGTGTTATGATTTAACAGTAGAATATATTTGAATGATGTCAGAGTAATGTAGACTTTTTTCCCTGAGGGGTTTCAGTAAAATGTCAGTATTTATATCAATCCAATAACTGAAACATTTCCCGCTTTTTATTATTTAAAAACCTCTCTGTTAGGCTACTTCTTAGGCTGAACGTATTGACCTTATGTTCCAGAGAAACAAATGAAAAAGCTTAATAATCATATAATAATAACAAGTAGTAAAACCGAATCCCCACTTGGGCACAATATCCTCTTGTTTGTTCTACGTCGCCTAGTTGCGTCATAGGGTCTAAAAATATTCAGCTAGCCGTGCCTCCCTCACCCTTATCTTGCTGCATTGTGTTGCTCCACTTTAGCATTTGATCCAGGAGCAGAGCAGGGGGATGGGGCCTAGAGGCAGATTGTCTTATTGACTTCAGCAGGGCCAGTGATGTCATTGTGATGGCAGTGTCCTTAATTGTAATTTTGTGCAAAGTTGATGGGTGAACACTCCATGTAGAGAGCAGGCAGAGAGAGAGAAAGACACACAGTCAGATAGATAAAGAGAGAGAAAGTGTGTGATTCTGTGGATCCTGGATTGTTAGAGAGTAGAAGATATGGCTGTTACTGGAGATGAGACTGAATCAGGTATGTAATAATCTTTTAGTCCATTTTCCTTTGTCAGTATTTCTCAGACTTTTAGTTTAATAGCAAGTTAAATGTATAATGCTGGCAGTGATAGACAATGTATACCTGCATTGCTGTTCAATTGAGAGATGTACCTGCATTGTTTCTGTATTTAGAGGGCTAAATTAGTGAGGAATTACTTTAAAGTTTGGTTGGTTAAGTGTCTTTACATAACTTTTAGAATGTATTCAAAAGTGTGTGTAGTCTACCATAGTTATTAAGTCATAGCAGTTGGCTTAGTTGGAAGCCTCTGAAAGCTGTGTTTCAGAGTATTTTTTCCCAAGTTACCTTATTTTTAAGAGAGCAGAGGAAACCAATAGCAAACTGAATGACGTGTACTGACTAACTAATTGAGGTTAATAGATAGCTACTACAGATGCATCCTGCCCCAGTTCTCTCTCTATGAGACTTGAAAACATTACAAGGGTACTGTATAATTACCATTAAACATTCCTATAGTGAAAAGCTAGACATTATGTTGACCGAACATGGCAGTAAGTGTTTAGTTAGCTTGCTCAACCCAGTTCCTGTCTGTCTGCCTGCGTGCCCCCTAAAACACTCAAACAGAACGCTTCTCTGGAGCTGCCAGGCAGAGGAGGGGTAGAGGTGGCGTTGACGTCACTCCGGTTTCCTGGAACCAGATGGGGCCAGGGAAACGAGAATGCTAACTGTCGAGTGAGACTCACATTGACGTCAGCCGGGAGTCATACTGTGATTCCAGACAGAACAGAGCCCTCTGTGGGAGCAGTGAGAGAGCAGTGATCACAGCTTCAGCGCTACAAGCTTAGTCATCCACTCAGATAACATCAGGAGAGAGAAGAGTCAGCCTCGTTTATCCCTTCAGATCTGCAAGCTGTTACTTGCTCACTCGTGCGTTAAAACACGAGTGCAGTGGTGGCATTTGGGGCTATTATAAATTCATAAATGAAAAAATAGTAAAATGTTTTGTTGCGAAAATATAGTTGTTTTGAATAAGTGTTTTATTTTTATTTATTTAAAAATAAATAAATTAGGGGGTAGATCAGCTTTAATATTGCAGATAGATTGATGGAAGTTACAATGTAATTGTCTGCATCACTTCCAATCCCCCATATGTTTTTTCTTTCTCGTAAATATATATATATACAGTGGGGAGAACAAGTATTTGATACACTGCCGATTTTGCAGGTTTTCCTACTTACAAAGCATGTAGAGGTCTGTAATTTTTTTTATCATAGGTACACTTCAACTGTGAGAGACGGAGTCTAAAACAAAAATCCAGAAAATCACATTGTATGATTTTTAAGTAATTAATTAGCATTTTATTGCATGACATAAGTATTTGATACATCAGAAAAGCAGAACTTAATATTTGGTACAGAAACCTTTGTTTGCAATTACAGAGATCATACGTTTCCTGTAGGTCTTGACCAGGTTTGCACACACTGTAGAAGGGATTTTGGCCCACTCCTCCATACAGACCTTCTCCAGATTCTTCAGGTTTCGGGGCTGTCGCTGGGCAATACGGACTTTCAGCTCCCTCCAAAGATTTTCTATTGGGTTCAGGTCTGGAGACTGGCTAGGCCACTCCAGGACCTTGAGATGCTTCTTACAGAGCCACTCCTTATTACCCTGGCTGTGTGTTTCGGGTCGTTGTCATGCTGGAAGACCCAGCCACGACCCATCTTCAATGCTCTTACTGAGGGAAGGAGGTTGTTGGCCAAGATCTCGCGATACATGGCCCCATCCATCCTCCCCTCAATACGGTGCAGTCGTCCTGTCCCCTTTGCAGAAAAGCATCCCCAAAGAATGATGTTTCCACCTCCATGCTTCACGGTTGGGATGGTGTTCTTGGGGTTGTACTCATCCTTCTTCTTCCTCCAAACACGGCGAGTGGAGTTTAGACCAAAAAGCTCTATTTTTGTCTCATCAGACCACATGACCTTCTCCCATTCCTCCTCTGGATCATCCAGATGGTCATTGGCAAACTTCAGATGGGCCTGGACATGCGCTGGCTTGAGCAGGGGGACCTTGCGTGCGCTGCAGGATTTTAATCCATGACGGCGTAGTGTGTTACTAATGGTTTTCTTTGAGACTGTGGTCACAGCTCTCTTCAGGTCATTGACCAGGTCCTGCCGTGTAGTTCTGGGCTGATCCCTCACCTTCCTCATGATCATTGATGCCCCACGAGGTGAGATCTTGCATGGAGCCCCAGACCGAGGGTGATTGACCGTCATCTTGAACTTCTTCAATTTTCTAATAATTGCGCCAACAGTTGTTGCCTTCTCACCAAGCTGCTTGCCAATTGTCCTGTAGCCCATCCCAGCCTTGTACAGGTCTTCAATTTTATCCCTGATGTCCTTACACAGCTCTCTGTTCTTGGCCATTGTGGAGAGGTTGGAGTCTGTTTGATTGAGTGTGTAGACAGGTGTCTTTTATACAGGTAACGAGTTCAAACAGGTGCAGTTAATACAGGTAATGAGTGGAGAACAGGAGGGCTTCTTAAAGAAAAACTAACAGGTCTGTGAGAGCAGGAATTCTTACTGGTTGGTGGGTGATCAAATACTTATGTCATGCAATAAAATGCAAATTAATTACTTAAAAATCATACAATGTGATTTTCTGGATTTTTGTTTTAGATTCTGTCTCTCACAGTTGAAGTGTACCTATGATAAAAATTACAGACCTCTACATGCTTTGTAAGTAGGAAAACCTGCAAAATCGGCAGTGTATCAAATACTTGTTCTCCCCACTGTATATACATATACATACATATACACATACATACATATAAATACATATACATACAGTTGAAGTCGAAAGTTTACATACACCTTAGCCAAATACATTTCAACTAAGTTTTTCACAATTCCTGACATTTAATCGTAGTAAAAATACCCTGATTTAGGTCAGTTAGGATCACCACTTTATTTTAAGAATGTGAAATGTCAGAATAATACTAGAGAGAATGATTTCTTTCATTTTTTATTTCTTTCATCACATTCCCAGTGGGTCAGAAGTTTACATACACTCAATTAGTATTTGGTAGCATTGCCTTTAAATTGTTTAACTTGGGTCAAATGTTTCGGGTAGCCTTCCACAAGCTTCCCACAATAAGTTGGGAGAATTTTGGCCCATTCCTCCTGACAGAGCTGGTGTAACTGAGTCAGGTTTGTAGGCCTCTTTGCTCGCACACGCTTTTTCAGTTTTTCTATAGGATTGAGGTCAGGGCTTTGTGATGGCCACTCCAATACCTTGACTTTGTTGTCCTTAAGCCATTTTGCCACAACTTTGGAAGTATGCTTGGGGTCATTGTCCATTTGGAAGACCCATTTGCGACCAAGCTTTAACTTCCTGACTGATGTCTTGAGATGTTGCTTCAATATATCCACATAATTTTCCTTCCTCATGATGCCATCTATTTTGTGAAGTGCACCAGTCCCTCCTGCAGCAAAGCACCCCCACAGCATGATGCTGCCACTCCCGTTCTTCACGGTTGGGATGGTGTTCTTCGGCTTGCAAGTAACCCCCTTTTTCCTCCAAACATAACGATCTTTGTCCCCATGTGCAGTTGCAAACCGTAGTCTGGCTTTTTTATGGCGGTTTTGGAGCAGTGGCTTCTTCCTTGCTGAGCGGCCTTTCAGGTTATGTCGATATAGGATTCGTTTTACTGTGGATATAGATACTTTTGTACCTGTTTCCTCCAGCATCTTCACAAGGTCCTTTGCTGCTGTTCTGGGATTGATTTGCACTTTTCGCACCAAAATACGTTCATCTCTAGGAGACAGAACGCGTCTCCTTCTGAGCAGTATGATGGCTGCGTGGTCCCATGGTGTTTATACTTGCGTACTATTGTTTGTACAGATGAACGTGGTACCTTCAGGCGTTTGGAAATTGCTCCCAAGGATGAACCAGGCATGTGGAGGTCTACAATTTTTTTCTGAGGTCTTTGCTGATTTCTTTTGATTTTTTCCCAGTTATCCACCCAGTAACCAGAAAAATGATTGTCTTAACATAACCCCCCCCCCCCCCCCCCCTTGACAGTATACTACAACATTCTATAGTTATAGTAAGTACTACACATGATCGAGGGACAGTTTAGTGTGTAGTATAGTATTCTACAGTATACTACAGAATTAATTAGTAAGTACTGTAGTAAACTAGTATTTTTTGATGTGGGTACTCAAACCACACAAAAGCTAACCACACAAAAGCTAAATCTGTGCTTAGGCCTACTCTCCCTAATGTGGCAGCTGTGCTGTGATCTTAAATCTGGCCGTAGAAAAATAACATCATTTAAATTAGGTTTGGTTTTCTTAATTCACTGTCCGTTGGAATCTGGGCTTGTATGGTTCTTTAACAGAAAAAGCAGTAAACAAGTGGTCAGTTGTTGTTTTTTGTCATTAAATGGACCCATCTACATTATTTGTGTTCAGCGTTTGTCTAATTTATAGTCGCTTATCCTCTAAGTAGATAGAAGATGAGAAATCTGTGTGATTGAAGGAGTAAAAAAATACAGCACTTGGTTTTTGCCCCAGCGAGCTAAATACACGTAGGTGGTCAATACAAGTGAGAATTTGTTCTCCAGTGACCACCTTGCTTGAATAAATGACTTAATGACTTCTAATTCTGATGTCCTGTCTGTCTGTGCAAGTGATGAACTTGGTTGAAAAAATGACTATTAAAACTAACCCTGACGTTCTGTTTGTGTCCCCTAGCTGCCACTGGAGATATGCCAGCATACCAGCTGCGTTCGCCCACCTCTTCGGGCCTGCCCCAGGGCCTGGTGATGGCTGCTTCCCCAGGCTCCCTGTCCATGCACAATCCCCCGGTGCACACTGAGGAGGTCACACGCAAGAGGGAGGTCCGCCTCATGAAGAACAGGTGAGACAGACACAGGTTGCATCCCAAATTGGCACCCTATTCCCTTTATAGTGCACTACTTTTGCCCAGCCCTGATCAAAAGTAGTGCACTATATAGGGAGTCTGGTGCCTTTTGGGACGCTCTGAATTTGGCCAACAACTGCAAAAAGGGGAACAGATTTCAAAATCATTCATACTCCTCATTCTCAGTTTCCTGTAGATTTTTAAAGCACCCCTTTGATAATTGATTATCTATATAGGTTGAGTGGATGTTATGTGGAGTCTCTGAAGTGTTTTTGTTCACTTTTGATTGGTACTTACAGCTGGGATTTCTCCCACTGTCCATCTCTTTTCCCCTGTCTTCTCTAGGGAGGCTGCACGGGAGTGCCGCAAGAAAAAGAAAGAGTATGTCAAGTGTCTGGAGCACCGTGTGGCCGTGCTGGAAAACCAAAACAAGACCCTCATCGAGGAACTCAAAGCACTAAAGGACATTTACTGCCACAAGAACGAATAGCTGAGTAGCTGCGCTCAGCCTTGTGCCAGGAGAGAGAGAGAGAGATCCTACTGAGAAAGCACAGAGTGCAGTTTACAGATTGACTGCTGTAAAAAACAGACTCTGGGACAAAAACTACTTTCACTGTCTTTGTTTCTCGTCTACTCCGCTTGTTCGGGCCCAGTCACTTCGATGCTGCACCAGAGGTTGTTAGGCGGCCATAGGCTTGTGCTCTCCGGGCTGAAGTCAAGTCCTGCTCTGGACAGGGCCCCTGTCTGTCCTCACTCATGCGCTTGTATGTGAATACACAAGTGTCGCCCAGCCGCGTTTGCTTCTGCTGTTTGCAGGGAGGCAGCCAATGAGAATCCAGCCTGCGGAAGAAGAGGAAGAGGAAGTAGATATGCTTCCAGAAGGCACACCGCTCACCACCACTGGCTCACCGCATTGGAGAAGCAGAAGCTGCGAAAGAGCCTCACTATCAACCAGCAAGTTCACATTAAGTGCACACAGACTCACCAGCAACCCAACCTACCTTAGCCCGAGTGCCAGTCTGTTTGTGCTGTCATGCCAACTCCTTGTTACTCTTTGTCACATTTGGCTTGACAATGAAAGCATGTGAGTTGGCAAGATTACAAACAGATCTGGGACCAGGCTAAACCTACATATCTTTACTTGTCACTGCTAGCTAGAGTTGTACTTCTTATATTACTATACTACCTTTGTGAAATCAGATGGACCTCTTCTTTCAGGACAAAGTGTGACGAGTAAATTCAAGTTTTGAAATTCTGTATTTGGCTATTTGAGTGTCAGTTGGAGTTGTCTAATGACTTAACCTGTTACCTGAATCAATGTGTAAGACCCAGTGTCAAGGATGTGACTATACGCCTTTCAATTGATGGTCTCTTTTCAAACAACACAGTTCAATTTAAAATATAAAATAAACATGCCGCGCCCATCGGAGGAGTGTATATTAAATAATTATATATTTCTAGCCATTGGAGGAATCTTATGTCACCAAGACCATTTTGAAATGACTACTGCTTTACCGCTCAAAATTGCTACATTTAATGTTTACTGAATCGCTCACCAATAGTTGTCCCCTTTGTCTGTCTTGGAACAGTACTGTGCTGTGCCAGTGTACTGTATACATGTTAAAAAAAATAGCGCCGGAAGTGCTGATGTTTGGGTATTTTGAGACTCTTTATAAATGTTTTATGTGAATTAGTTGATAATAACAGATAGGATATGTCCCAAATGGGCCACTATTCCCTTTATAGTGCACTACTTTGGACCTGAGTTCTGTGGGCCCAGGTCAAAAGTAGTGCACTAAATAGGGAATAGTGTGCCATTTGGGATGTAAAAATAGAGTTCATGAGTGCTCTGTTTTAAAGGTATTGCCAATTTATGTCCATGAGAGCACAGACTTGACTATGATGATGATGCAGCTTCATGTTCTTTCCTCACACCAGTTCTGCTTGCAGTGATTTTGCAGCCTCCTGCTTGCTTTGAATTTCCATTAACCTTTATTTCTGTTTACAGGTATATGTCCTTTGTATGTTTGTTGTCAGGCCAATGATTATACAATTCAGGGGAGATGTCAAATAAATTTCATCTCAGTAAATGTTTTGGATAGAATTGAAAAGTATGTCAAACAGGTTAGCTCTTAAAACCAGTTGTTCAACTTATGTTTGAAGATTGTACAAATATACTATTTCTAATAAAATGTCCATACCAGAGTTTGAATTACAGTTAAATTATTTGTTAGATGAATCCTCATAGTCAGAAAACTACATACTATATGGACTGAAGTCTGTACCACACAATGCATTTGGGCTCACCTCTGAAAAAACAAGCACAAGAATGAACACAAATACTAACCAACATATAATTTCTCTTCACCTTAGATACAGTTGAAGTCGGAAGTTTACATACACCTTAGCCAAATACATTTAAACTCAGTTTTTCACAATTCCTGACATTTAATCGTAGTAAAAATCCCTGTCTTAGGTCAGTTAGGATCTCCACTTTATTTTAATAATAATAATATAATAATATGCCATTTAGCAGACGCTTTTATCCAAAGCGACTTACAGTCATGCGTGCATACATTTTTTTTTTGTGTATGGGTGGTCCCGGGGATCGAACCCACTACCTTAGCGTTACAAGCGCCGTGCTCTACCAGCTGAGCTACAGAGGACATTTTAAGAATGTGAAATGTCAGAATAATACTAGAGAGAGATTTATTTAAGCTTTTATTTCTTTCATCACATTCCCAGTGGGTCAGAAGTTTACATACACTCAATTAGTATTTGGTAGCATTGCCTTTAAATTGTTTAACTTGGGTCAAACATTTCGGGTAGCCTTCCACAAGCTTCCCACAATAAGTTGGGTGAATTTTGGCCCATTCCTCCTGACAAAGCTGGTGTAACTGAGTCAGGTTTGTAGGCCTCCTTGCTCGCACACGCTTTTTCAGTTCTGCCCACAAAAGTTCTATAGGATTGAGGTCAAGGCTTTGTGATGGCCACTCCAATACCTTGACTTTGTTGTCCTTAAGCCATTTTGCCACAACTTTGGAAGTATGCTTGGGGTCATTGTCCATTTGGAAGACCCATTTGCGACCAAGCTTTAACTTCCTGACTGATGTCTTGAGATGTTGCTTCAATATATCCACATAATTTTCTTCCTCATGATGCCATCTATTTTGTGAAGTGCACCAGTCCCTCCTGCAGCAAAGCACCCCCACAGCATGATGCTGCCACCCCCGTGCTTCACGGTTGGGATGGTGTTCTTCGGTTTGCAAGCACCCCCTTTTCCCTCCAAACATAATGATGGTCATTATGGGCAAACAGTTATATTTTTGTTTCATTAGACCAGAGGACATTTCTCCAAAAAGTACGATCTTTGTCCCCATGTGCATGTGCAAACCGTAGTCTGGCTTTTTTATGGCGGTTTTGGAGCAGTGGCTTCTTCCTTGCTGAGCGGCCTTTCAGGTTATGTCGATATAGGACTCGTTTTACTGTGGATATAGATACTTTTGTACCTGTTTCCTCCAGCATCTTCACAAGGTCCTTTGCTGTTGTTCTGGGATTTATTTGCACTTTTCGCACCAAAGTACGTTAATCTCTAGGAGACAGAACGCATCTCCTTCCTGAGCAGTATGATGGCTGCGTGTTTATACTTGCGTACTATTGTTTGAACAGATGAATGTGGTACCTTCCGGCGTTTGGAAATTGCTCCTAAGGATGAACCAGACTTGTGGAGGTCTACAATGTTTTTTCTGAGGTCTTGGCAGATTTATTTGGATTTTCCCATGATGTTAAGCAAAGAGGCAATGAGTTTGAAGGTAGGCCTTGAAATACATCCACAGGTACACCTCCAATTGACTCAAATGATGTCAATTAGCCTATCAGAAGCTTCTAAAGCCATGACATCATTTTCTGGAATTCTCCAAGCTGTTTAAAGGCACCATCAATTTAGTGTATGTAAACTTCTGACCCACTGGAATTGTGATACAGTGAATGTATAAGTGAAATAAAGTCTGTAAACAATTGTTGGAAAAATTACTTGTGTCATGCACAAAGTAGATGTCCTAACCGACTTGCCAAAACTATAGTTTGTTAATAAGAAATTTGTGGAGTGGTTGAAAAACAAGTTTGAATGACTCCAACCTAAGTGTATGTAAACTTCCGAATTCAACTGTACCTTAACTCTGACATCACAACAGACTCCTCAATAGACAACAGAAGTATGAAACAACAGACTTCAATGTTGCTTAGAGCAAATAACCTAAAATCCTCATGACGTTCTAACATAAATTCATTATGATACTTGAGGCATCAGATACAATAAGCATAAATGCATATAAGAAATTGATTTTCTCCCCTAGAGTTCCCAATGAATATCACTGTTATATCATTATATCACACAGACTCTATCTCAAGTACAAGAACAGTTTACTGCTTTATAGTAGTACAGTTTTATACCTTGTTTCTGCTCTACTAACTGCCCTCAAGTTTATTTTGTTATTTTTAAGCCTTGGATTTCTAATTGCTCTGAAAGTATTAGTGTGAAAGTGTAGTGAACCATTCTCTCTCCTTTTCAGTTATGTCAATACTGCAGAGTGGAAGGGTTGGAACTGATACCAGAGGGGTTTTGCAATGAAACCTTGAAACAACTAATGTGTTTTTCCTTACTGTTCTGTTTTTGTAAAGCCAATCTGGGACCCTCCACTATATTCTGTGTTGTCAACACAATGTACGAGCGCCATCTAGTACAATGTGTTAGGGTGTTTTCACACTTGGTCCCTTTCAGCCAATTTTTGTGAACTCAGTGCAGTTCGCTTATTTCTTTTGTCCAGTGTGAACACTCCAAAAGGAACTCAGACCCCTCAAAAGAGCCTCCGAAGCGAACCGAACTGACCAATTCAAGAGGTGGTCTTAGTTCAGTTCGCTCGAAATCCTCGGTTCTGTTCCCTTTTTTAGGACAATGTGAACACAAAGCTCCCCAGGTTCGCTTGTCATTATTCCTGCACCACACACTAGACTACTGCAACACTGTTTCCCCTGACATAACCCCTCACATTGGTGCCACAAGAGAGAAGATGATGATGTACAGGTTTGCAGAAAAAACATGTGCTGTGTTTGGATATTGATTAGCGATTGTCAAGGGTGCACAGAAATTCCAATATATGTGTCAAGTTTTTAGTTCTGACTATTTGTTTTCCAATATGTGATCTATAGGCTAAGGGAGCTTCATCAGCTGTTTATTGCTGCGGGAACTTGCTTCCATTCAGCCACAAGAGCATTAGTGAGGTCGGGCACTGATGTTGGGCGATTAGGCCTGGCTCGCAGTCTGCGTTCCAATTCATCCCAAAGGTGTTTTGATGGGGTTGAGGTCAGGGCTCTATGCAGGCCAGTCAAGTTGTTCCACACCGATCTCGTCAAACCATTTTTGTATGGACCTGACTTTGTGCATGGGGGCTTTGTCATGCTGAAACAGGAAAGGGCCTTACCCAAACTGTTGCCACAAAGTTGGAAGCACAGAATCGTCTAGAATGTAATTGTATGCTGTAGCATTAAGATTTCCCTTCAATGGAACTGAGGGGCCTAGCCCGAACCATGAAAAACAGCCTTATGCATTGGGGCGGGTAGCGTTCTCCTGGCATCCGCCAAACCGAGATTCGTCCGGACTGCCAGATGGTGAAGCGTGATTCATCACTCCAGAGAATGTGTTTCCACTGCGCCAGAGTCCAATGGCGGTGCGCTTTACACCACTGCAGCCGACGCTTGGCATTGCGCATGGTGATCTTTTTACACACTTCAGCACTTGGCGGTCCCATTCTGTGAGCTTGTGTGGCCTACCACTTTGCGGCTTAGCCGTTGTTGCTCCTAGACGTTTCCACTTCACAATAACAGCACTTACAGTTGACCGGGGAAGCTCTAGCAGGGTAGAAATTTGACAAACTGACTTGTTGGAGAGGTGGCATCCTATGACAGTGCCACGTTGAAAGTCACTGAGCTCTTCAGTAAAGCCATTCTATTGCCAATGTTTGTCTATGTTGATTGCATGGCTTTGTGCTTGATTTTATACACCTGTCAGCAACGGGTGTGGCTGAAATAGCGGAATTCACTAATTTGAAGGGGTGTCCACATACTTTTGTATATATAGTGTATTTGGTGAAAATCACAACATAGGGTACAAAATATATTCTAGCTCTTAAAGGGGCAGTAGCCTACATTGGTTGTACAATTTTCAATTACAGCATTATTTAATCTATAGTTATTCTTCTGCTATTTATTCTGTCACCAATAATATTTACATGTTAATAGTATCTTCTGATTACAATTATTATGTCATATTTTAACTAAATGCAATCTATTCACTTCCTAAATGTAAGTAGGTCTATATAGCTGTCTGATTAAACGTTCTGATGGAATGGCTTGTCCTGCACTTTGTAAAAACCCAGAGTGCATTGAGTGAATGTTGGAAAAGGATCTTGGTTCCTTTCTAAACATAGCAATGTGAATGCAAAGAGAATTCGGACCACAAAATAGGTGAACTGAACTGGTAAAAGAGTTGAGTCCTCATTCAAAGGCAAGGGCAGTGTGAATACAAAGAGAACTGAGTTCTTTCGTTTTTATTTTTACCACAGAGTTCACTTTAAAGAGGACAGAGATCGGTTATTTTAAAGAGGACTATATGTGAATAGATTCTCTCAGAATTTATGTCCAACTCTCACTTACACAGAAAGTGCTCATTTAAAGAGTGAATGTACGAGCATAGATGAGGGTTTCATTGTCATATTATACGACAAATCAACTACTACTGTATATTTCGCAGCTTACCTAAAATGCTTAGTACATGAGGATTGCACCCATCAGATAGGCCCTATCAAAATTGAGAAGTTGAGCAGCTGGAGGTGGGTGTATCTTTAATATTTTATTAGCAGCATTGCAACATCTTCCTGAAGTTCATCCTGTGTGGTTGAAGTGGAAATTTCCACTTCAGGACAAGGCGCCCTCCAGTGGTCAATAATGTGGTTATACACTGGTCTAATCCTGTAGCCACTCCCTTCATTGATAGTTGATCAACACTGACCTCTTGTGGATAGAGTGTATTACTACATTAATTATCTTAAATGTAGTTTATATATTTTCTAAACTTTATTAAGAACAAATTCTTATTTACAATGACGCCTACCCCGGCCAAACCCTCTCCTAACCCGGACAACCCTGGGCCAATTGTGCGCTGCCCTATGGGACCCCATCACGGCCAGTTGTGATACAGCCCGGGATAGTGATGTCTCTAGCACTGCAGTGCCTTAGACCGCTGCGCCACCCATCAAAGTTGAGCCAAAACTACTTACAAGTGCTGTAACATACATAACAATAAAACATCTCTGGTTCAGCTATGTCACAATTTAAAACAGATATTACATCTCTACTTGTTTGCATCTAGAATTGCATTATGTCTGTAAATGAGGGAACACCTGCACTTCTCTATCATGTTCACACTTTTTTATTTAAACGTATAAGGTTACTTTTGTTTAATCCTTTGTCTGTGTGTGGGCATATTTTTTAGATCCTGAGCTTCATAGCAGTGAGTTTATGATTTACAAGACAGATTTCTGTGGAACCAATGCTCACCTCACCAATCCATTCCAGACTGTATAAGGCTTTTGGCATAATGTGTTCTCCATACTACTGCTGTTATATTGTAGTGACACAAAGCCACATCTGATTTGGTATTTGGTATTTTTTAATTTATTTTTTTAAATAACTGGCTTCTGCCTGGCCTTCTGCCTGGCCTCTGCCTGGGGACTCCAAATCACTAAGTCCGCCCCTGCACACCCACCCACACACACACACTCTCACCCTCTCAATTCAATGGGGATTTATTGGCATGGGAAACACATGTTTACAATGCCAAAGCAAGTGAATTGAACAATAAACAAAAGTGAGAAGAAAATAGTTTAACAACATCAACAAAAAATGTATTAGAAATTAACAGTAAACTTTGCACTCAAAAAGGTTTTAAAAAACAGACATTCCAAGTGTTGTATTATCAGCTATGTGCAGCGTTTTAGCAATATGCAAATAGTTGTAGTACGAATAGTGGGGGAAGATAAATAATGTTTATGTTTATTTATTTTGCCTTTTGTACTTTAACACATTTGCACATCGTTACAACACTGTATATAGCCATAATATGACATTTGTGGTCCTCTGTAGCTCAATTGGTAGAGCATGGCGCTTGTAACGCTAGGGTAGTGGGTTCGATCACCGGGACCACCCATACGTAAAAATGTATGCACACATGACTGTAAGTCGCTTTGGATAAAAGCGTCTGCTAAATGGCATATTATTATTAGAAATGTCTCTATTCCTTTGGAACTTTTGAGAGTGTATGTTTTTTATTTTTTTATTTAACCATTAATGAACTAGGCAAGTCAGTTAAGAACAAATTCTTATTTACAATGACGGCCTACCAAAAGGCGAAAGGCCTCCTGCGGGGATGGGGGCAAAAATAAAAATATAGGACAAAACACACATCACGACAACAGAGACACCACAACACTACATAAAGAGAGACCTAAGACAACAATTTAGCATGACAGCATGGTAGCAACACAACATGGCAGCAGCACAACACAGTAGCAGCACAAAACATGGTACAAACATTATTGGGCACAGACAACAGCACAAAGGCAAGAAGGTAGAGCCAACATTACATCACGCGAAGCAACCACAACTGTCAGTAAGAGTGTCCATGATTGAGTCTTTGAATGAAGAGATGGAGATAAAACTGTCCAGTTTGAGTGTTTTTTGCAGCTCGTTCCAGTCGCTATCTGCAGCGAACTGAAAAGAGGAGCGCCCCAGGGATGTGTGTGCTTTGGGGACTTTTAACAGAATGTGACTGGCAGAACGGGTGTTGTATGTGGAGGATGAGGGCTGCAGTAGGTATCTCAGACAGGGGGGAGTGAGGCCTAATGGGGTTTTATAAATAAGCATCAACCAGTGGGTCTTGCGACGGGTATACAGAGATGACCAGTTCACAGAGGAGTATAGAGTGCAGTGATGTGTCCTATAAGGAGCATTGGTGGCAAATCTGATGGCCGAATCATAAAGAACATCTAGCCGCACGAGAGCACCCTTACCTGCCGATCTATAAATTACTTCTCCGTAATCTAGCATTGGTAGGATGGTCATCTGAATCAGGGTTAGTTTGGCAGCTGGGGTGAAAGAGGAGCGTTTACGATAGAGGAAACCAAGTCTAGATTTAACCTTAGCCTGCAGCTTGGATATGTGCTGAGAGAAGGACAGTGTACCGTCTAGCCATACTCCCAAGTACTTGTATGAGGTGACTACCTCAAGCTCTAAACCCTCAGAGGTAGTAATCACACCAAACCACATTACCTTTGTTATGGAGATGTTCAGAACAAGGTTAAGGGCAGAGAAAGCTTGTTGGACACTAAGAAAGCTTTGTTGTAGAGCGTTTAACACAAAATCCCGGGAGATGGCCAGCTGAGTATAAGACCGTATCATCTGCATTTAAATGGATGTTTACTGTTCATTTTTTAATTATTTAACTTTAGTTTATTATCTATTTCACTTGCTTTGGCAATGTAAACATGCGTTTACCATGCCAATAAAGCCATTTCAATTGAATTAAATAAACAGATACATAGTGGTGGTATTTACGATGTTGTTTGTGCTTCATTGATTGCCCTTTTCTCATGGTAAATGTTGCTGTTGTGATTGCACATTGCGGTATTTTGCCTAAAATATATGGGAGTTTATCAATGTTTGATTTGTTTTAGAATTCTGTGTGATCTGGGAATATGTGTCTCTAATGTGATCATGGCAGGAGGGTTTGAGCTAATTTGTAACCACCCACTTGAACCGGAACCTTTTCAAGCTACAACTGTGTTGCCCTCACGATCATGTGTATGGTAGAGCTCCATTTACATTCCCTTTACAACTGATAAAAACGACGATGTCTCGGCCACATCAGGCATTGCTGATTTAAATAGTAGTCATGTGCTGATTTAAATAGTAGTCATGTTCAAAAGCGTGGTTAATGCGTGGGCTTGGCAGACTGTGGAAGCTTAATTAATTTACTTATAAGAAGGTAGGCTGGCAACAAACAGTTTACGGTGTAAATCGTGAAACATTTCACTGCTTGGTCGCAGATGCTGTGTCTATTCATTATCTCGTTGGAGGATTTATCAATGACAGTGTATTCATGTGCTGGTCGCGGCAGCGGCGGTTCCACCCTCGGTGCTATGATCCTCCTCCCCGCTTCAGTAGCGATTTGAACTACCGGTAACCTTATTCCAATAGGTAATAGCAACATTGTAACTTATTGGAAAGATGGGGAGCACGACCTCTTGCTGTGTTTCTTCAAGCCCGAAGCTCCGGAGAAATGCTCATTCGAGGCTGGAGTCGTACAATACAGAGCCGGAGTTGAGTAGGGAGGATACGGGCTGCAACCTGCAGCACATCAGCGACCGAGAGAATGTCGACGGTAAAGTATAAAATAATAGCCTAATGTAGGCCTATTAAAGTTTAATGTTCTCGTGTGGTGGTGGTGATGTTTTGAAACACGACTCAACATTTTGAATTTCACACTGAATGTTTTATTGGTTTGGATTGCGAAGTAGGCTATAAATATAACATGTCGCTGCAACCTGGTCTCAGAGCATGTCGTATTATTCTGTACGGAAATCCGCGATACTCCATTTAGTATTTACATTTACATGTTAGTCATTTAGCAGACGTTCTTATGCAGAGCGACTTACAGTTATTGAGTGCATACATTTTCATACTGGCACCCCGTGGGAAACGAACCCACAACCCTGGCGTTGCAAGCTCCATGCTCTACCAACTGAGCTACAGGGGACTACAGGGTCCTGATATGTTAAGTTTAGTATGGTATGTATTAATTTGTGGATGTCCATCACCCATTTTGTGTGATATGTTACGAATTACAATACCTATTATATGTTACGAATTGGAAAAACGTACAATATGTTATGTATTTGGAAAATGTACAATATCTTACAAATTTGCGAAAAGGTATGATATGTTATGAATTCTAGGTAGGTGGCTAATGTTAGCTAACTAGCTGGCTAACGTTAGCTAGGCTAGGGGTTAGGTTAGGGTTAAGTTTAGGAGTTAGGTTAAAGGGTTAGGGTTAGTGGAAGGGTTAGTTAAAATGGTTAGGGGAAGGGTTAGCTAACACTAAGTAGTTGCAAAGTAGCTAGAATGTAGTAACTAGTTGAACATTTGCTAAGTAGCAAAAATGCTAAAGTTGTCTGTGATGAGAATCGAACTCGCAACCTTTGGGTTGCTAGATGTTAGTGTTATGTGCCAACCCATCCACCCACCCTACTTTTAATTTTTGCTTTAAGTAACCATCTGTCATATGTAACCATACCAAATGTAACATAACATAGTCATTTCATTGTCCCGGATTTATGTTTACTATGTTATATCTAGTGTATGAGACCAGGCTGCATGTCGGCAACATTTACTAGTGTGGGACCTTTATTGGTCATTATTTATAATGTATGCATATTCCTATCAGCAAGGCTTTCTCCTCCCCCTGGCAATGGATCTCTGTGATTGACTTAATCAGGCTGGTCTTTGATATGCATTATCTGAATGTATGTTGTACATATGTTATTACATAGGTATTTCTGTACATGGGGGCAGGCAGCATGGGTATCCAGTCTGCCTCTCAGTCCCATGTGACATGTTGAAATAAGGGTTATGTCCCAAATAGCACCATATTCCCAATAAAGAGCACTACTTTTGACCAGAGACTGAGCGCTATAGGTCCTGGTGAAAAGTAGTGCACTATAGGGATTTGGGACACAGCCTTGGTGCAGCAGAGCAGACAACATCCTGTTCATAAATGGTCCTCTGTAGCTCAGCTGGTAGAGCACGGCGCTTGTAACGCCAAGGTAGTGGGTTCGATCCCCGGGACCACCCATACACAAAAATGTATGCACGCATGACTGTAAGTCGCTTTGGATAAAAGCGTCTGCTAAATGGCATATTATTATTATTATTATATTATTATTATAAATGCTTCTCTTTGTTTTCACTTGGAGCATGAAAGACACACCAACGGTGACATGGTATAGCACTCTTTATTGACACATGTATTACAGTTGATACATTTACTCTCAAAGTGTCTACTAAATGGGTATAGCCTACTCAAGATGGACCGACTCATGTAGAGATTACATTTTCTGGAATTTTTATTTTAAGGTCTGCTCTGCAACATGCATGTCTGAATATCCATGATCTGCAAAGTCTGTACATCAACTGCTATTGGGGTTTCCCCCATTCCCTATCATGACATCAGGCCACTGAAGATTCATCAGTATTTCTTATGGGTATGTCCAGTGCTTAAAGTGGATTTAAATATAGGCTGGTACTCACTTTGTGTCCCACCCAGTACTGTATATATTTAGGTGACAGTACTCCACAATATTTGATCCAATATTCTATAAGAGATGCTGGTACTCAATCAGTATAATATTTTGAGGTGGTGGTACCGGTGTGTACCGGACCAATTCAAACACTGGGTATGTCCAAGCCACAGTAATCCTACAGTGGTGGATAGAAGCTGTGACTGTCTGTACAGTTTTAAGTATAGGCTCACTCTGCCTTGGCTCTCACAAATGACTTCTGAGAGCTGGAATGGACAGAACAGCATGCCCATAATCTGGTGGTGTGGATTTAATGCACCCAGCATGTTTTTCTGGGGAGCCTTGCATGTCCCTAGAAACATGACCAATAACTGCTCTGCTTTTGAGATTTAGCTGGAAGACGAGTGCAGTGTGCCACACAGTATCCCTCTACTACACGTATGGATGGGGAGAAAAAAATAGAGGGAGGGAGATTAAAGAAGAGATTGACAGAGAGCGAGAGTACTGGGGACTGCTCATTTCATAATTGGAAAGAAGCATGTAGGTGGATGTTTTGGGTGTCTGTCAAACAGCAGCCATAGCCCATGTCAAAAATAGTGCACTATATAGGGAATAGGGTGCCATTTCAAATAATCAAATCAAATCAAATTTTATTTGCCACATGTGCCAAATACAACAGGTGTAGACCTTACAGTGAAATGCTTACTTACAAGATGCAACAATAACCAACAATGCAGTTTTTAATAATAAAAATAGATAAGTAAAAAATAAAAAATAGCAAATAATTAAAGAGCAGCAGTAAAATAAAATAACAGTAGGGAGGCTATATACAGGGGGTACCGATACAGAGACAATGTGCGGGGGCACCGGTTAGTCGAGGTAATTGAGGTAATATGTACATGTGGGTAGAGTTAAAGTGACTATGCATAGATAATAAACAGAGTAGCAGCAGCGTAAAAGAGGGGGTGGGGGGGCAATGCAAACAGTCTGGGTAGCCGTGATTAGCTGTTCAGGAGTCTTATGACTTGGTGGTAGAAGCTGTTAAGAAGCCTTTTGGACCTAGACTTGGCACTCCGGTACCGCTTTGGGACAAAGTCTGCGAGTGAGGTCACAGACAGGGTGGCGATGTGCTTCTGAACGGCAGACTGATAAGGGGACTGTCTGTCGCTTTCCTACCACAGCAGCTGTGTGTGTGGTGTGTGTGTGTGTGTGTGTTATCTGTAGCTGTCCTACCACAGCAACAGCTGAAGCCTGTAGAGGCAGATGACATGCCCAGGGGGACAAATCACTGCTGAGAGAGACAAACTAATGCCTTCATTTAGATGGGGAGTCTTATGAGACACTATAAAGAGGGTTAGTGTGCTCTGAAAGGATGGACTGTTAAACCCAACACTCTCATGGACTAAATCTCAGTATTTGTTATTAGAATACTCTTGTCAAAAAAGTTCTGGGTCACTCTTTTAAAGAACTACAGGGCCGTTCCACGAATAGAGTACATTTTGGGTAGTGTAAATTGGTTTTTAAAAAAACTATTCATTTCACATAATATTTACATTCTGTCATAATGAGCACATGTTCAACTTCATAAAACACGTTTTCCCATCTCGAGGGGTTGAATAAAAAAAGGGACTATAGTAAGTGCCAATAAAGTGCCATTAAAGTAACAGGGTTGACCGTAACAGGGTTGAGGTTTTCATCTTAATCAGCCATAAATCCCCTTGTGACAGGGGGAATGGAAGCTTGTTGTAGCAACTGGGAGTAGGAATTGAATGCAAGCTTCAACCCCAAAATTACATAGTTAAAATATTTCTAGCCTATCTATGGGTAACAGGGTTGACGTGTTATGCTTGACTCGCTCAGCTCAAACACCAGAAAATGGCAAAAAAGAGTAGAACCAGCTCACCTGCTTCTACACTATTATTTGACTATGATTTTTTCTTTAGAAAAAATTATTTAAAATTGAATAGTTTCACCATAATAAAACGAGAGTTCAGGTTCACATAACAGGGTTGACCTTAAAATGAGGGACAAATGTAAATAATTCACTAATCATATTAAATAAATAATAATCTTCAGAAATGGCTGTCAAAGCAAGAACATAACTAGGGCTTTACAATGATGGTAACAACTTGAAGAAATATTGGCGTTAAATGTGTTAAAATCTTCCTAGAAGTAGGAAAAACATTGTCAAAATGCACATTTTTGGTCAATTGATTTAAATCAATTGATTCATTGAATTTCCATGTGGTATAATTACGGCACTTCATTTAATATAAACAAATTAATAGTTTTATTCAATATTGGTGCTGCGCAATTTCTACTTAAAATATCAAAGACACTCAAAATGTACTCTTCGTAGAACGACCCTACAACTTCTGAATAATTCGTCTATAAAGGCCTTATGAAGACTTCATCAAGCCTTAAAAGTTGTACTTTGTATAAAGTTGGATCTAGTTCTTTGAATGAGAAGCCTGAGTCTGACCCAGGCAGCCTGGGTTATGTTATTTCACATCCCATTTATGGCTTTGTGGTCCTTTCCTAAAGTGACTCTCTCCATCCTGTGTTTTTAAGCAGGGATCATCACGACACTACGTCAAACCGCATGCTTGCCCTGTATGAGCTGATCTCTTGGCTGATACTCAGCTTAGATTTCAGACTGACGGGCCAGGCATGCAGGCAGGCAGGCTGCTTTTGAAGAAATTCAGAGCAGGTCTTACTTTGTCCAGAGATGACTCCTGGGTGGATCTGCCTCACATATGCGAATCACAAATGACACCCTAATCCCTTTATAGTGCACTGCTTTTCACAAGTGTCTGGGCCCTGGTCAAAAGTAGTTCACTGTATAGGGAATAGGGTGCCATTTGGGACACACATTTATTCTGTGGAGAATGGTGCCGACTGGCAAGGCCCTTTTTTCTCATTACCTGAGTATAGAAGACAAAAGCTTGAATACCAAAGAACCTGTGTCCTATATTCAGGAAATATCCTAGACTAAATTGAATTTCTCTCTCTAGTTAAAATTTGAATAATATCTTTGAGCGCAGTCTTATGTCCTCTCTGTCACACAAAGTTCACTGTGTTCCTGAATCCTGC